AATCTCTGGTAGTTTTCTAAATTCTATTCAAGGAGAGACACTCGAGCATTACGGAATTTCGATTGTGTCTTGATATTCTCAAGTTGTACCAAATGTATTGCAACTTGAATTCAACCACAAGAGTTTCAGAAAGAAAAATTATACCAAAGAGGCAATCAACATCGTAATTTGAAGACAGACAACCATGCACAGATGCGTTCGACTCCATTTTTAATTGACTAGGATTATCAGTTTTCCTACAGAAGGTCGCTGGGGCAAAACTCCAGGTACTCCTGCTTCCTCCACAAATTAAACGTGACCGCCACGGTATAGCCAATTGTGATGAAAGTGGCGTTAAACACCAACAATCAATCAATCGAAGACAGCCACGATGATATAGAAAAAGAGACAAAAAAAAAAACCCATCAAAATACACAAAACACTACATAGAACACTAATAATTGAGCTACACAAACCTCATACAGTTTAAACTCATGTGCTCTTTAAGGTTCAGCAGTGTTTGCTTTACTGGTGACCCCCAAAGAATTGATTGTTTCAAATATATTTATATTTATTGGTAAACAGCAAAATGTGTATGCATTTTATAGTTATATTATTTCACTCAGTGTAATTCATTCTATGTAATTATCTCCAATGACTGCAAATAAAATTTAAAATTGTTATTTCAGAATTAATCATGTGCTTAGAAACAGTGAATTCTTTCATAAGACACATTCCAGTGTTCCTCTGAAAAAGGTATGAACCCAGAGAACAAATGTTCTTTGTTATAAAGAAGTAAAATAACAAAAATACCGAACTCCAAGGAAAATTCAAATCGGAAAGTCCTTTATAAAATGACAAAATCAAAAGCTCAAACGCATCAAACGAATGGACAACAACTGTCATATTCCTGACCTGGTACAGGCATTTCCTTATGTAGAAAATGGTGGATTAAACCTGGTTTTGTAGCTAGCTAAATTTTTCACGTGTATGACAGTCGAAAAAAAATCAATTATATTGACAACAATGGGTGAACAAAACAAACAGACTTAATAGGTAAAAATGTCAAAAATAGGGGTACAGCAGTCAAATTTCACTTATAATTCATTTTCAGACGAAATGACATGTAGTAAAGGTTAGAAAAAAAGCCCACTTAACTCGAGCCTTTAATTATATGTAGACATTGATTTTTCTTAGTTCCTAAATTCGCGTGTAATATTTCACAAGGACATTTAGCAAGAATGATAAATCCTAAATTTGACAACAGTTTTTTTTTCTGTACTGTTATATGTAAAAACTCATAAAAGATATCATGCAGGCTGGTACTTTGGTTCGCCAGGCCCGCCTTTCGTTTACATAAGACTCATCAGTGGCGCTCGCATCAAATCAGTTGGAAGGCCAAAACAAATATAAATTTGAAGAGCATTAAAAATCAAAAATTCCAAAAAAGATGTGCCAATACAGCTAGGCAATCTATGTCTGGGGTAGAAAATTAAGCACTTCGAATATTTCAACATTTTAAAACAGTAAATTCACAGAAAATTCACGATCAATTGCATTTCATGTCAACACGAAAGTACTGACCACTGGGCTGGTAATACCATCGGGAAAGAAACGTGCTCATCTAAAAAAGACATGAATGCAGAAAACAAATTGTATACAAACGGATACTGTGAACTAATCTCACAAATTGGTCCCCCACTCCCAAATGTGTACATTCCAAATGTGTACATTCAAAATGTTTAAAAGACAATGTTTCGTTATTTGAAACCCAAACTATCTTTTGAATTGAAAAAAAAAAATAATGGTAAAAACAATTTTCTGAAGATTTTCTGAAACTTACATTTAAATCCAGTCATTGGTTAAGAACTAATGCGGATACAAAATGCAAACTGATTAACAAACGAACAAACATATGAACGGACACATAAGCGAATAGGTCAATATCCAACAAACAGACATAGCAGTGGTGAAAACAAGAATAGTTCAGCTTGCAATAAACCTATCGATATATTGAAATCGCTGTGGTTCTTTGTATTGGATTTTTACAACATGATCATGAGCAGCACGACGGGTGCCACATGTGGAGCAGGATCTGCTAACCCTTCCGGAGCACCTGAGATCACCACCAGTTTTTGGTGGGGTTCGTGTTGCTCAGTCTTTAGTTTTTTATGTTTTGTGTACTGTTGTTTGTTTGTTTGTCTTTTTCTTTTTTTAGCAATGGCGTTTTCAGTTTATTTTCTACTTGTGAGTTTGAATGTCCCTTTAGTATCTTTCGCCCCTCTTTTACACCCATAAGAAATGTATCAGAGGTGACTGTATCCGTCTTCCTGTCCGTAAGTTTGTGTATTTTCCCACTGTGTATCCACATTTCCTTGGGAGGCAATGAGTGGATGTGAAAGAATCTTTTAGTGTGCACATCGCACTTTCATTTTTTTTTGCCTTTGAACATGATGGAGTCAAATCAAATCATGGATTTTGAATACTGTAAATTCAGAAATTATTGCGAGGTTTTTGTTAATGCGAATACTGCGACTGGGCGAGAACCGCTATAATGAGAACTCGCATTCTGATATTTGATTCATATATGCATGTGACTAACCATGCACGAGATTTTCAGGCTCATGGGGTACCTGGTCTTAAATGGGTTTATTGCATAAGTATCTATAGTACATTCTGAAAGAAAAACATCCTGTCAAGTTATAATGACAGATTTGCTGAAATAACAATGTAATGGGTTGTTTGTATATCGACAAAAGAAGTATTCAATTCGCCGTTTTGATTAACGAATGCAGTAATTTCTAACAGCCTATTTGAACACAAATTTCAAATTATACTATAAATAATTCTTTGCTCTTTTAAAAAAATGTTTATATATAACAGCCTATTTGAACACAAATTTCAAATCATACTATAAATAATTCTTTGCTCTTTTAAAAAAAAATGTATATAAACTTGCAATGAAATTAGTTTAAAATTTGTCTACATGGTAGCTTGTAGTAGGTTTTTTAATGAAATTTTCTCTTAAATTTTACAGATTAATGCGTGTCTCTACCACACATAGCATGCGAACAGTTTAAGAAGTATGTAGCAAAATGACATCTCAAATTTTCAATCGATACGGTACATTTGTTTTAATGAATTAATTTTATTAAATCGAACTATGAGAACTCTATAGAGCAGAGAATTTCGAATTTTAAACACATTAAAAACTTGTTTATCAATTGATGCAGGGTAAAGTAATTTTAATTTGATACACAATTTTAAAACTGCTTTAGAATTTGTGTACTTGCCATCAAAAAATGAAATTGAAGTAAAGATGTATACCTTCTTCACACATATTTCATAACGACAATCAAACATCATTAAATTTAATCTGAAGGATTGATGGAATTATCTAAAAACAGTTTTGAATTTGTAAGTGTTTGATCGACCTTCAGTTTATATATTATTTTTACCAGGCTTCTGCTTATGAAGCTAATTATATTTGAATCTAGCTAGCATGCTAATATATCAACGACTGCTTAGGACTTCTATGATAAATGTCTAATATTGTTTCTGATCTTTCTGTTTACTTATATATGATGGGGAGTTGTCTCATTGGCACTCATACCACATCTTCTTATATCTATATATATCTATATATGGATATAAATGAAGACCCCAATCCAAACCTTCACGCATGTTGTATATTTTGTATAGTTTTGCCTCAAAGTAACACTATACATGTATCAAAGTAACACTATACATGTATCAAAGTAACACTATACATGTATCAAAGTAACACTATACATGTATCAAAGTAACACTATACATGTATCAAAGTAACACTATACATGTATCAAAGTAACACTATACATGTATCAAAGTAACACTATACATGTATCAAAGTAACACTATACATGTATCAAAGTAACACTATACATGTATCAAATTAACACTATACATGTATCAAAGTAACACTATACATGTATCAAAGTAACTAACACTATACATGTATCAAATTAACACTATACATGTATCAAAGTAACACTATACATGTATCAAAGTAACACTATACATGTATCAAATTAACACTATACATGTATCAAAGTAACACTATACATGTATCAAAGTAACACTATACATGTATCAAAGTAACACTATACATGTATCAAAGTAACACTATACATGTATCAAAGTAACACTATACATGTATCAAAGTAACACTATACATGTATCAAAGTAACACTATACATGTATCAAAGTAACACTATACATGTATCAAAGTAACACTATACATGTATCAAAGTAACACTATACATGTTTATTCGATTGATATGAGAAACACCCGGCTGTTTTTATCACTGGTGAATTCTTTGGTTTTTTTTTCAGGAAATATATTTTACACTAGTTGCAATAAAATTGGTATAGAATTTACTTAATTTGATTAAAGATTGCAGTACGAGGTTTAAATTACCTTACTTCTTTGTCTCCAAAACAATGTCATAATGGATAATAAAGTGATTGTTCTTAAGTGTTCATAGAATTTAAGAAAATGAAATAAGAAGTAGGCAATGGTCTTTAGTTGTGCAATCTTTTTGCCAACTGAAGTGTATGGTAACTTTTGTACTGTTGAAAAAGCCAGCTATATGTATATATATATGCATTTTGATTATTTTTGAAAATTTATTATACATGTAGGAAACTTTTTGATTTTAAAATTCAAATGACCAAACATTAATTTGCCTATTATTATACCTTCTATTCGTTTTAATTTTTTTGAAGGTTTTGCTTTAGAGTCTGTAATGATGCATGTCTCTAACATCGGAAGCATGCGAAGCATAACAGTTATGGATTAGTAAACAAAATAACATCTCAGATATTATACGTTTGATACGGTTACCTGATTTTTAAAAATCGAAGAACTAAATATATAGAGCATTATTTTTTTATATTGAAACTTCTCTTTAAAGTTCAGTCATGTATTCTCAATTCAAACATAAAACTTTTTACAAAACATATAAGTTATATGCCTTTATACAGAAAACATCGATTTAGTGCAGACGACATTACTACCTGAAAGCTGTTATAGACAAGTGTTTGTTCTATCTTTCAATTTTTACACAAGTAAACTAACTATAATACTGAGTCGATTGGACGAAGTTATCATTGTTTCACCTTCACCGGTTTACGAAGGGTTTAAATTGGCCCTAAGAATTTGATGTTTTTTTTTATTAGGCCAAAACACCTCAAATTTTACATAGAAATATTTGTGATATAACTATTAAAACAAAATCGCTTCTTTTTGGGACACCACATTAAAAATAACAACGAAATTACACCTCAAGTATGCATTATTTGTGTTGTAACGTCAGTTTTGGTCCAATTTTTAATACTTCTTAACACTTTTTAACATAATTTACTTTGGCCGCCACCCTGGATCCAGAGTTTATTTTTTTCTAGGGATTCAATGTCATCATTGGCAACTTTTGGCTACAAAACATTTTGGATCCTAGGTTGCGGCCAAGGATTTTCTCTAGCTTTTAGGTCCAAAAATACACAAAATGATCGTTTTTTGACAATATACCCAAAATGTGCTAACTCTGAAGCCTACAATATACTCTAATGAACATTAGAGATTTACCTAACCAAATAGTTAGGCTTTTGAAATAGTTCCATTTAAGAATCAAATTATGGCTATTTTGATAATTTATGATAAAGTTAAATTTTAAGGTCATATTTGGCCGAAAGAGAACTTTGCCCTTTGTCCTGCGTGTATGATGTTAGAACGGTAAATTTTATTATGTAACAATAATTGTTTAGAAAGACCAGTCTATACAAAGTGCGAATCCTGAAATATAGTTTTTACTGTATCTGTCAAGTATTTCTAATGTTGAATGATAAATAAACAGACGAAAAATTGATGATTTCTGAATAAAATAAGATATAATTATCAATTGTATATTGATTTAATAAATTAATGACACATGCAAGAGATACAAATGGGTTTATATCACGCCTACTGCCATGCAGGTGTGAAATCGGTAATCAAATAGTTACATATTGAGAATATTTCACAAACAGAGCTTGCAGAAGATTTAAAAGCAGCGGTAAAGTTTTTTTTTCAGAAAAGTATACCTTTTAACATAATCATTAATGTTGCACAACCTAAAACAGGTTTTGCCATTCAGTTTGTTGATATGCTGCTTTCGTTATTCGATTCATGTTTTCATGTCGAATAATGATACAACACTTTCATTTTCACTGTAGGGGCGATTTATTTCTTTTGTATATGCGGTGCATTTTCACAGCAGGAATCTTATTCATTTTCATCAAATAGAGTCAATTCAGCCGACTCGCTCACAAACTAAATAAAGTCAGAAGGATTTGATAATGCTTACTTTTTGAGTGAAAGTCTAACGAATTCCAAAAATGAATTCAGTAAAGATAGCATTTATTGCTTAAAATGTTCAATTCTATTTTTTCTAATAATTCGTCCGGTTATATACGTAGGGTAACATTTAGACCAAACAGCCTATTCAGTTCTACCAGTGATTTTTTATTGAAAATTGTGTACATGTATGAAGATATTTCATGATTTTGGAAACAAAATATATTGAAAAAAATTGGGGTCACCAACTTCGTTTTTTTCCCCCTTATTTGAACATTATTTGGTTGTTATTTTTAAAATTTCAAATAATCCATTAAAATCGAACCTACAAGCATAACACTTTTTCACGTTAAACTGTAGACGTGTATCTATCAATTAAAGATTCTAGAGTTTAAGATTTTTGGTGTTTTGATCTTAAAAGTATGATTTATTTCATTCCCGCCAAAAATAAGACGTAAGAATGAAAACACGTTTCCAGTATTTAAAAATATTTACCAGTGATAGTTTCTCGGTCATAAAAATTTCAAGAAGGATAGTGCTTTGTGTACTCTTTCAAATAAAGCCATAAGAAGTACACGTCACCGACCTTTTGAAAAAAGTTATGAGTAATTTGTATGTTTTTTTTTTATTATTTTGTTTTCAAGAAAAGAATCGTCTTTCTTCAAAAAACTGAATCTGACTTCATAGTACAATTTTCCTGCATTTTTCGCAAATTTAAGAAATAATTCATGGAAGCCATAGATTTGTTGGAAATTTACACATGGCCTGGGCAGTGATATTCGAATTTTATCCTGAGCGTTATCGAGGGATAAAATTAACGAATATCACGGCCCAGGCCATGTGTAAATTTACAACAAATCTATGGCTTCCATGAAATATTTCGATTCTAATAGGACAAATACGGTCATTAAAAAACTGAAGCGGGGGGTGGGTTCGCCGTGTGTGTGGTTGTTCCTTTTTACTCCCTGTTAGATAAAGCTATAACATTCTAATAAATCTGTAGCTTGCATGAATTACTTCGTAAATAGCCGCCAGAAAAAATGTGTTTAGTTCTTTTAATTATCAAATCCTACATTTGCCATTTTTTATTAACTTGTTTTTCTCGTAAGCTACCGTCAAATCCTAAGTTGACATTTCGTAACTAAGGACCATGTTGACTTACTGAAATTCGTTAATATGCAAATAATGCAAGAGGATAGAAAGTAAAACAAACCCTACCTCAAAAATCCATTTTAATGCAATTTTATACGAACTTCGATGGTTCACGTAACGGAAAACCTTCAGCTTTAGCGATTTCATTTGTATGACGTCATGTTTTGAAATGACTTAAATGCGCCGAAAGAATTAATGGACTTTCGCGGAATTTTATTTTATTTTTGTTTTATAGATTTCTCTGAGCTCTAGTGCATTAATTCTTTTTGTTATGCATCCGAATAAGAATAGAAGTTCTGTAGTCTTTTTTCTATTGCAATTTTTAAAACAATAAAATCGGAATAGCGTTTGCAAATAGGTTCCGATACATGTGGATTTACGTAGGAGGTATTTTGTAACATCCATTATTATGTATATCTCTGAGTCTGCGCTAAGTATAGATATATCGAGTATTTTATCACGGTGTTGTTTACAAAGCGAAAGCAGCACGTCATATCGGAATGGACGTTTGAAACCCACATTAAAACTTTCAATGATTACAACAATATACACATACTTTATCGGAGATCATAGTTATACATCAGTATTTGTCAAATCTCATTCTGCACAAAAGTAGCCTTTAGAAACAGTTTGTTGGAATGTTAAATTGTCCGAAATCACCCTCTACTCTGCTTTAAAAAGGGAAGTTTGCTTCTGCCTCCCTCTACCTCTCTTAGGCAAATTATTGAAAATAAAATCTATACAAAAAAAGATTTCAATCAGTAATATTTCAGACAATAAATGAGATAAATGCATTATTTTTTTCGATTTTTTTTTATTGTGCAATGAGCCAAAGTTGTATGCAAAATTTTACCAAAATCTGTGACATTGCCCATTTATTGTTACCTGACCTGACGTTTTCGGATTCGGTCTACTGTATATCTAGGGTACTTTTATTATACAAAAACATAGTGATGAAACTTCATTAATGGATACAAATAAAGCTCGCCCACACAACTAGACTAACATTTCACTCTTGAATGACGCTTGAATGACTTTTGATGCTTTATATGTCCCATGAATCTTGAACAGTGCATACATCTTACACAGTAAAGAACGTTCAAGCAACAATTCAATCACTTTGATTTATGTTTGAATGTCATGCTTATTGTTGTTACAAATACGTAATTTTTAAACTACAATGACATGTTTGGAACAGTTTATTGTTACACGGGTATAACCGCCTATACAGTTGATGCCAGACGTTGCTGCGTATCGAAGCGAAGTTGGTAGATAGAACGTTCAAGTATTTTTCGTCAAATTAAGTATTGTATTTTTATAAATCACAGTTTCATACTCAAAAAGTAAGAAGGCTCAAGAATCCGGGTCATTTTCCTAATTCCCGGGTTATTTAACGACCCGTCGGCTATCTCAAAAATCCCGGGTGAGGGGGAAATTTACGGGTATTACCCGTAGAATACCCGTAGAATACCCGTAATACGTGTATTACCCGCAGAATACCCGTAATACGAGTATTACCCGCAGAATACGGGTCAGTTGACAAGTATGAGTACATAGTAAAGTTATATTCTAAGGAAATTGTGTTTATACATACATTCAAATCAATTATTTTGTATTTTTAAAGCGTAAACAAACACAAAGTTTTTCCTCATCATCCTTTATTCTACAATAGTAAATAAAGGCAACAGTAGTTTACCGCTTTTCAATAGTCATAAGTCGAATAAGCGAAAACAAATCCGGGTCACAAAGCAAAACCGAGGGAACACATCAACTATAAGGGGAAAACAACGGAACAACAGAAACACTGAACTGCTACAAAAACATTTGAAATTATGCAGCTTTTTTACTGTTCCGTTCATTAAAAAGTCATTTGCACTGAGGAGAGTAGACACTGTATATACATATCTTTACTTCATTGTGGCTGTTGTCATGTCAGTTAAAAAGATAGTTATATAAATAGTTAAAATTACAAAAAGTAGAGGTTATTTGGTCAAGTATGGTTCAGACCGGTCGAGTATTGTTCAGACTTTGGTCGAGTTTGGTTCAGACCTTTGGCCGAGTATGGTTCAGATTGAAAAATAGGTCCAGTACAGGTCGATAATGGGTTAATATAAATAAGAAGATGTGGTATGAGTGCCAATGAGACAACTCTCCATCCAAGGCCGTGTGCACACCAAACGCTGTGTACTGTAAACCTGTTTACAATTAGTTTAATGTAGTGAACACTGGTTTCACATTAAATTTATTCTTATCTGTACATCGGTTTTAATTACCTGTATATGAAAATTGTTCACATCAGTAAACAACATTTCCACGTAATTTACATGTACATTAAATAGAATTGAATTAAAAATTTCTCTGTTAACTTTTGTATCAGTTAGGTATAGTTAGGCGTAGACCAAGTCATATTGTTTTTATTTTTCTATTTTTTTTTGGGGGGGGGGGGGGGAGGGGGAGATAAATTGTTTAAATTAACTTTTTTTTAGAAAAAAATGTATTTGTTCCAGGAAGGAAGTGAGAAAAAGTGTTTGAACTCTTGCAAATGAAATACAT